GGCTCCCGGGACTGGATGATGTGCACGACGCGGCCCAGCTTCTCCCCGGGCAGTTTGTTGATGTCCAGGCTCAGCTGCCGCTTCTCCTCGTAGGACATGGGCTTGCACTTGTCCTCCTCCTCCGACTCGTAGGCGGGCGCGGCCTTGCTGGGCTTGGCCGCCACCGGCTCCTTCTTGCTGCTTGGGACAATGGGGATGGGGTCAGAGCCCGGCCTGAACCCCTCACCAGAGCCCTGAGGGGTCAGGGGGGTCAGTATGGGACAGTGGGAATGGGGTCACAGCTGGCCTGAACCCCATATTGGAGTCCTGAAGGGCCAGGGGGGTCAGTCTGGGACTGGGAATGGGGTGAGAGCCCGGCCTGAATCCCATATTGGAGTCCTGAGGGGTCAGGGGGTCAGTCTGGGACTGGAAATGGGGTCACAGCCCGGCCTGAATCCCACACTGGAGTCCTGAGGGGTCAGGGGGTCAGTATGGGACAGTGGGAATGGGGTCAGAGCCCGGCCTGAACCCCATATTGGAGTCCTGAGGGGTCAGTCTGGGACTGGAAATGGGGTCACAGCCCGGCCTGAACTCCATATTAGAGTTCCAAAGGGCCAGGGGGGTCAGTATGGGACTGGGAATGGGGTCAGAGCCCGGCCTGAACCCCACACTGGAGTCCTGAGGGGTCAGGGGGGTCAGGCTGGGTCAGGGGGGTCGGTCTGGGCCTGGGAATGAGGTGAGAGCCCGGCCTGAACCCCTCACCAGAGCCCTGAGGGGTCAGGGGGGTTGGTCTGGGCCTGAGAACCAGGGAGTTGGGCCTTTGTGGTGTCGGCCTGAGACACCAAAACTGAGCTCAACCTGCTCCTGGACACCCAAAACTGAGCTCAACCTGCTCCTGGACACCCCACACTGAGCTTAAACCTGCTCCTGGACACCCCACACTGAGCTTAAACCTGCTCCTGGACACCCCACACTGAGCTTAAACCTGCTCTGCCCAACCCAGTGGTCAGCTTGACCTTGTCTTAGCTGAGCTCAACCTTCTCCAACACTGAGCTCAGCCTGCTCCTGGACACCAAACATGGAGCTCAGCCTGCTCCTGGACACCAAACATGGAGCTCAGCCTGCTCCCGGACACCCAAAGCTGAGCTGAAACTGCTCCTGGACACCCAAAGCTGAGCTGAAACTGCTCCTGGACACCCAAAGCTGAGCTGAAACTGCTCCTGGACACCCAAAGCTGAGCTGAAACTGCTCCTGGACACCCAAAGCTGAGCTCAACCTGCTCCTGGACACCAAACATGGAGCTCAGCCTGCTCCTGGACACCCAAAGCTGAGCTCCAGCTGCTCCTGGACACCCAAAGCTGAGCTCCAGCTGCTCCTGGACACCCAAAGCTGAGCTCCAGCTGCTCAGCCAGGCATTCCCAGCAGCCCTGAAGGACCCTCCCCAAAACCCAACATGATCTCATGCCCAGAGTGAGGCGGGGGTTCCTCGTTAAGGCTCCTGTGATAACGAAGGGAATCAGGGAAGGGGAGATCCCGAAATCCCAAGGATTCCAGGAGGGAAGGGAAGGGGAGGGCCCACCTGGAGGCACTGTTGTTGCTGTTGCTCTTCTTGGCCTTCTTGGGCTGCGGCTCCTTGGCTTTGCTTTTCTTGGCCTCTTCCAGCTCCTCCTTCTTTTTGTGCTTCTCCTTCTTCTTCTCCTTCTTGTCCTTCTCCTTCTTCTTTGGTTTGTTCTGCTGGGGCTGGGACAGGGCCGCGAGCTGCTCGTGCACGGCCTTGAGCT